ATTAGTGTGAATGTAATGTTGTTAGGTGCCGTTGAGTCAGCTCCAACACACAGCAACCCCGTGTGCAACAGAACGAAACACTGCCCGGTCCGGCCCCATCCTCACGGTCCTTGCTGTGCTTGAGGCCATCGTTGCAGCCTCTGTGTCAGTCCAGCTCGTTGAGGTGTTCCCCTCTTTCCCTGACCCTCCACTTTACCAAGCGAGATAGCCTCTCCAGGGACTGGTCCCTTTTGACAACACGACCAAAGCAGGAGAGACGAAGTCTGGCCATTCTAGCTGCTAAGGAGCATACCAGCTGTGCTTCCTCCAAGACAGATATGTTTATTCTTCTAGCAGTCCATGGTTCCTTCAGCACTCTTCACCAGGACCACAGTTCAGAAACATCAGTTCTTCTCCGGTCTTCCTTGTTCATTGTGCAGCTTTCACGTGCATGGGAGGCTTTTGTAAAGACCCTGGCTTGAATCAGGCACACCTTTGTCTTCAAAGCAACACCCTTGGTCTTTAATACTTTAAAGAGGTCTTTTGCAGCAGATTTGCCCAGTGCAATACATCGTATGTATGAGACTGCAGCTTCCATGGGTGTTGATTGTGGATCCAAGTAAGATGAAATACTTGACAGTTTCATCGTGATGTTGCTTCTTGGTCTAGTTGTGAGGATTTCTGTTTTCTTCATGTTGAGGTGCAATCCGTACTGAAGGCTGTAGTCTGCGATCTTCATCAGGAAGTGCTTCAAGTCTTAGGAATGTAGCGAGTGTGTAAAGCCACTGCTTTACGAACAAAAGTAAAATTTTGACCGTCCCTCCATTTAGCCATAAGATCTCCCCTGCTCCATACGTACCTCCCCACCCAAGATAACCCTTGTGTTCGTTTTTCTGTATTGATACAACGGTATATAGTCCTTAAAGGTGTATTTTTTTAATTATCATTCCTTTTCATTCTGAGCGAGTACAGTGCTGACCGTAATACTCAGGGACCTATTTTTCCATCTTCGGTTACAGCGCTGAGACACACTTGTGTATTTGCCCACCACTGCAGAGGGTCTGGGGTCCCAGAATGGCACAAATGATTCGTTCCTGGCTGCTCCCAAACCCATCTATCCAATGGCACCACGGAAGAAGGGCCAGACAGTCTGCTTCCATAAGGATTGCAGCCAAGAAAACCCTGAGGAGCAGTCCCGCTCTGTAACACGTCGCCGTGTGTCAGAACCGACTTGAAGCAACAGGCTGGGTTTTTGAGGGATTTTTCAGAGGTCCTGCTTTAACAAAGATGCTTTGGGAACCACTGCTTTGACCGCACAGAGAGCCCGTTAAAGGCCTGTTGGCAGAGCCCCTGGCTTTGCATCGACAGTTGTGTAGTGGAAGTTTTGGGGCTCATAAGCCAGGCCCTTAATTCCAGAAGCGTAGATTTGCCCTGAGGAACCAGCCCCAGCCCCAGATGGAATCTGACCCATGGAACCAGCTCCCACCCCAGAGACCTTCATCCCCTGAATAGGAAGTCACACACAGGCAAGGTTTGCTGAGCCTTAACTCTGTAAGTGGGTCTCTGGGGTGTCCAGAAAGCTGCAGGAAGGAGGCACGACCCACCTCCAGCCCTGGAGGGCACAGCCCGTCGGGGCCACAGCATTGTGAATGGAGAAGGCCGAACCGTCACTGTGGGTGTCATTGTCAGGCAGTTCATTGATGCCCAGTGCTCGGACATGCTTAGCATCAATGACAGCACAATCCGAGCCGGCGGCAGGGGTGCAGGCCAGGCCAGGCAATGACTGCCAGTTTGGCTCCAGCGCGGACTGACAAGGGCGTTTCTGGCTGAGTCCGTCCCTTCAATCACGAGAGTCATCATGTCCTCAGTGTTTACCTGGTGTTAGGTGGGCTGCGGGACTACAGCTATTGCTTTGTAGTACGACGTGTCAAAACCAAAAAAAACAAACTCACCGCCATCCAGTCGGATCCAGCTCATAGAGACCCCTCCTTGGGTTTCTGAGGCGGTATCTCTACAGAAGTAAATTGCCCAACCTTCCTACCAAGGAGTGGACCAACCTTCTGGTTAGCAGTCAAATGCTTTAGGTACTGTGCTACTAGAGCTCCCATACGACATGTAAGGACCAGGTATTGCAAAGAATTGAGGACTCTGAGCTCCAGGGAGCCAGAGGTAGTTTAACCCAGCCTCCTGTCAGGGTAGCACCGCTGCCGCAGCCAGTCTCCTCCCCGCCTGGGGCGTCCGGCCTCCAAGAATGGGCACCTCATTACCTCCCAAGCCGACCGGCCAGTCTCTCATAACCCAGCTGGCTGTCGGGCTTTCCGTGAGCACTGCCACCCCCTCCCCACGCCCCTGCTTCAGCAGCCTCTGCCCTTCAGCCAGGATAAACAGGCACTAACTGCAGTCACGCTGTTGTGGTGGTGCTCACCGCCATCAGGTAAGGCCCCGACTCACGGTCACCCCTGCGTGGGGGAGTGAAGCACGGCCTGGCCCTGCTCCAGCCCCACGGTCAGTTACAGATCAGACCACTGTGAACCAGAGCGCTTTTATGGGCTGACTTTCAGAAGGAGAGCCCCAGGCCTTTCTTCCTGGTCTCTCTCGGTCTGGAAGCTCTGCTGGAACCTGGTCAGCATCAGAGCAACACACCGGCCTCCACCGACAGACAGGTGCTGGCCGCACGGGAGGTCTGTTGGCCGGGGATCGAATCTGCATCTTGCTCGTAAAAGGCAAGAATTCTGCACTGAACCACCCCAGTCCTGCCAGGTATTAATTAGTACCTGCTTCATAGGTCCTGTTATCCCCACCTGTGACGATGAGCAAGGCACTTTGGTGGCACGGTGGTTAAGGTTTTCGACTGCTAACCAGAAGGTCGGTGGTTCAAACGCACCAGCTGCTCTATAGGAGAAAAATGAAGTAGTTGTCTTCTGTAAAGATTGACAGCCTTGGAAACCCAGTGAGGCATTTCTACGCCGTCCTGTAGGGTTGCAGTGAGTTAGAATTGACTCCATGGTTAGTGGGTTTGTTTTTTTCCTGGTTCGGTAAAGGTGAGGAAACTGAGGCACAGAAAGGTTAAGTAACTTGCCTAAGTCCCATAGCTGTGAGGGGTGGCATTGGCCTCTTGAGTCCAGGCTCTTCACCACCCATCTCACCGAACAAGCCTGCAGCAAGCAGCTCCCTGGTGCCTCTTGGCAACACCCACCCCTCCAGCCCCTGGCCACCACTGATGTGTTCTCTGTCCTTATAGGTGTGCATTTTTCCAGAATGTCATATAAGCGGAGTCATGCAGCGTGCGGCCTCTTGAGTCTGCTGCCTTTCACGAAGCAAAATGCATTTGCAACTTGTCTGTCGCTGCATGGATCAGTAACTCGTTCCTTTTCATTGCCGAGTAGTATTCTGTTTCCCTGGGTGGTGCGAACAGTTCACGTCCAATGCTAACCAAAAGGCTGGAAGTTCAGGTCTACCCAGAGACACTTCGGAAGAAAGGCCTGGAAATCTCCTCCCCCTCTAAAAAAAAAAAAGCCATTGAAAACCCTACAGAGCAGCTCTGCTCTGACATGGGGTTGCCGTGAGTCAGAACCAACTTGGCAGCAGCTGTGTTGATGCTGCACCGGATGGCTCCATCTCAGTTGGCCCGTTTGCCAGGTGAGGGAAGGGCTCAGGGTGGTCTCCAGGGTGATTACAAGTAAACGTTGGCACACAGGGCTTTGGGTGGACACGAGCCTTCATGTGTCTTGGGTAACGTGTCAGAGTGGGGTGGCTGGGCCTTAGGGTGAGTGTGTGTTGAACGTCATAAGAAAACGCAGACTGTTCCCGCAGCGTGCTGTGCCATTTTACATTCCACCTGCAGCCTCCAGCTGGTCCGTGTCCTTGTTGATGACCCGAGGTGTTGTGGGGGGGCTGGTGGGAGACGAGGACCGAGGGGAGAGGGTGGTAGACGACATTCTGCTCCCCTGTCCCCAGCAACACCATGCCTGCTTCAAGATCCCTTTTCCATTTTCGTCCTTGTAAAAGTGCCGTTTGGGCCTTTGCCTGGCTTGCTTCCTGGGCCTCTCTCTGTCTCAGCTTCTCATGATTAGTGGGTTTTACACACTAGGCCTGGGACCCGCACTTGGCCTCACATTTGGGAGCAACGAAGCCGTGTCCTCCCTGCCAATGCTGTACCCTCGGGCTTACTGTCTCTCCCTGCAGCAGCAGCAGCACGTGGGGTGCTCAGGGGTGACTCCATGTGGGTGAGGACCGGGAGGAGGGCACTGACGGATGATGACCCCAGCACCAAGAGCCTTGACGCCCAGCCCGAGGGCCGAACGGACACAGCTGGGTGCCCATGGCGTGCCCAGGGTCAGAATCAACAGGGACGAGATAGAGGCACAGAGCAGTGCCCAGCCGCTGCCCTTGGCGAGCTGATGGTCTAGTTCTGGGGTACCAAGCACCCTGCCTCGCAGGCTGAGGGTTATTGCCAAGGAAGGTGCTGCACCACAGAACTCCTTGTCCCAAAGGTGCCCCAGGCAGCTGTGCTGCTCTCGCCCAGGAAGCAGGGTCACGGGGACGTGGGAGGTCGGTCAGGTCACCGTGAGTTAGGCCTCAAGTGGCCGTCGGAGCACAAGGATTGGGGAGCAGAGGGGCAGGGACAGTCTAGAGGGAGACAGCCAACGGAGACCAAGAGATGGGAAAGTGAGGGGCTGTGGAAAAGGTAGTTCCTTTCCACGACCCTGCCAGGGGCCCCCCTCTCGGCCGCTGCTGCCTCTGGGTGAAAAGTGAGATGTGAGACATTTGGGCCAGGACCGGGTCTTAGGGGCTTGCCGGCTCAGTGGTCCCCAAAGATTGGGGGGTACAGGGGGGCACGATCAGCATCTCTGGGCCTAAGCTGAGACCTGAGTCAGCTGTCGGTGGGCAGAGCTCCGGGTCAACCAAGGCAGCACTCCTGGGTCATGCCCCTGGGCACTGAGTGGGCGGGCGGGCACTGCTGCAGGGGCCTGCCCCGGAGACGCGAGACTCATCGCTGTCCTGTGTCTGCCCCTCCCCAGGTGCAAGTTCTTCAGCCTGACTGAGACGCCGGAGGATTACACCATCATTGTGGACGAGGAGGGCTTCCTGGGTGAGTGGTCCCCTCGCCGGGGCCTGAGGTCCGCGCTGGTTGCCGCCGCCTCATCCCTGCCCCACCCGTTGGTCAGCTAGCGAGTCCTCAGGCCGCTTCCTTCTCTCCTGAGGCCCTGGCTGACCTCTCCTTTGCCTCGTCCCGCTCTCGCGACTGCCCCATCGAGAGCCCCGAAAGTGAGAGTCAGGAAGGCTCAGGGTTACCCAGGAAACAACCAGGAGAGAGAAGGAGCGTGTTTTACTGAGCACCTGCCGTGTGTGAGAAGGGTCGCGGGGTGGCGCGAGGTTCATTTCAGACCCACCCAGCAGCATCACAGAAGAAAGGCCTGGTGATCGGCTTCTGTTAAGATGGCAGCCAGGCAAGCCCTACGGAGCAGTTCTACTCTGTAACACACGGGGGTGCTGTGGGGTGGAGTCAAACACCACAGCAGTGGGTTTGCCTTTTCCACCGTGTGCCAAGTACAGCAGAGTGTTCTTGTTCCTCGCACCTCCCCCAATTACAATCCTTGTGGTATTTTTCCCCCTTTCTGAAACATTGACATCACCGTTCTGAAGCATACAGTTCACGGAGTTTAGCATGTTCACAAGGTTATGCAACCCCTGACTGTCTGATCCCAGAGCGTTTTCCTCAACCTGGAAGGAAACCCTGTGCCCATGAGCATGCACCCCCCTTTTGCCCCTCCCCCAGTCCTTACAGCTTTTTAAAAAACTCATTGCTGTCAAGTCGCTTCTGGGTCTCCAAGGCTGTAAGTCTTTACGGAAGCAGACCGCCTCATCTTCTGAGGAACGGCTGGTGGGTAGGTTCAAACCACCAACCTTTCGGTTAGCTGCCAAATGCCTTAACCACTGCACCACCAGAGCTCCTTCATGGCTTCAGTGTTACCATTCATTCTGTTGTTCTGGTCTGAGTACTGGGCTGCCGGCACAGTGCTAACAAGCACCCAGTAATTTACGAGGTTTGAGCGTCAGCACGGTCAGTGGAACCCGGGGTGACCCAAACAGGTGACACACACGGCTGCTGACAAAACGGTGGTCAGGTCCACCCAGAGGTGCCTGGAGAAAGGGCTAGCAGTCTTCTTCTAAAAGATCAGACGTTGAAAACGCTGTGGAGCAAACTGTGTGAGGTGCACTGAGCTCTGATCCCAGTTATCGTTAGTGTGTAGCAGTCGTGATAACAGGAACCTCCCAAGAGAAGGCTGAATCTACCTCCGGAGCAGGGCCCCTGCTGACCCCAGGTGATAGACACCTTGCTCAGACGGAGATTCTGTGCAGTCTGTCTGGGGTGGAAGTGCAGCATGGCCCGTTCTGGAGACTCAGAGGTGGTGGCTTCCTGGAGGTGGTGGCCCTGAAGGGCTGGGGAGGCCCGGAAAGGGAGAGAGCATGTCAGGTGAGGGGTTGACCAGGTCCAGCCTCTGAAGAAGAGATGAGAAAACAGGTTCAAACAAAAGGAGTAGCAGGGCAAGTTTGGATGTTCTTTACGCAGTGGGGAGCCGTTGAAAGTTGTTGAGCTGGGACAGTCATGTTTGGGGCTGGACTGAGTTGCCTTGGGGGTGAGGGGTATCCAGCTGCGGGGAGAGAGTGTGAGGTGAGGACCCTTCCTCTGTCCAAATCCAGGTCTTCAGGCCCAGGCTAAAGATACTCTCAGCTGCTCCAGGAAGGGAATTACCCATAGTCCCTCAGCCCTGAGCCATTACTACTGACTTGGTGACTCTTGGAATTGCCTTGGCTCCCCTCCCCAAACTTTCCCCAGTGGCAGGAGTAGAGCTGGTGACAGAGGGGTCATCAGCTCCATCTTTAGTCCAGAGAAGGCAGGCTGGGCAAAGCAGGTTGAGGTGAGCCTCCCAGGGCCTGAGAGGGTGAAGCTTGCCTCTGGCTGTTGTCACGTTTTTTATTTCTTTCGAGGTAAAGGTCTCCTTTCCAGGCTGCATTTCCTGGTCAACAGACTGCAGCTGTTTGGCTGTCCACTTAAGAAAAAGCATCACAAGGAGTTGATTCTGACTCATGGCGACCCTGTGTGTTACAGGGTAGGATTTCTGGGCTGAGATCTTTGAAGATTTCCAGGCCTTTCTTCCCTGCCACTGCTGGGTGGGTTTGAACTGCCAACCTTTTGGCTAATAGTCGAGCAGAAGCCATTGTGCCTCCCAGGGACCTCAGACACTCATTAAACCAAAAAAAACCAAACCCACTGCCATTGAGTCGATTACAACTCTTAGTGAGCCCATTGAGTTTCCAAGGCGGTAATCTTTATGGAAGTAGATTGCCCCATCTCATCTTCCTTCCACACAGAGAGCAGCTGGTGGGTTTAAACCACCAGCCTTCCGGTTAGCAGTCAAATGCCTTAGGCACGGCACCACCAGAGCTCCTTATCAGACACTCATTAGTGCCTGACAAAAAATTGGGTGCATTTCTTTAAGTAGTCACTCCTCTCATACACTTCCTACAGCATCTCTTGGAATCATTCCAGTGGCCTGAAAGGTGAGGTAATCAAGACTTCAGGAGGTCCATTAATTTGCCCCAAATCTGTGAATGACACGGGCCAGCCAGGATTTGAATCTGAAAATGTCCTGAGAGAGCTAGAGCTTTCAGCCTAAATAAACAAGAAGAAAGTATTGCTGTAGGAGACCTCCTGTGAAATCTAAAGAGCAAAGACGTCACTTGGATGACTGAGGTTCACTTCACGCCAGCCATGGTCTTTTCCATCACCTCATAATGCCTGTGAAAGTGGAACAATGGGAAGGGAAGACTGGAGAATTGATGCAGTCCAACTGTGGTGTTAGCTGAGAACGTTGACTATGCCGACTGCCAGAAGAACAAGCAAATCAGTGTTGGAACAACTACAGCCAGAGTGCTCCTTGGAAGCCAGGATGGTGAGACTTTGGCTCACTTAAGACCACTCACTAGGAAAGGACATCGTGTTTGATAAAGTAAAGTGTCCATGAAAATGAGGGAAGACCCTCAATGAGATGGATTGACGAAAGATACCTCGGAGATGATACGGCCTTGGTTCCAGACCACTACCATACAGCAAGTCACCCGAGTGTTTGGGTTTCCCAGTGTATCTAAAAGTGTGTTTACACTCACTGTAGTCCACCACCTGTGTGTCAGTGTGTTGTACTGCATTGGCTAGTATGTTGCTGTGGTGCCAGAAGCTGTGCCACTGGTATTTCAAATACCAGCAGGGTCACCTGACAAAGTAAAGTATTAAAATGAAATATGCGAAGAACTGGAGTTAGAAACCAAAAGGGGAGAAGACGCTCAGCATATCTTAAGTGGAGCGTACTGGGGGGCAGAGATATTCAAGCCTCAAGTTGCAATACTGAAGGATCTACGTGCAAAACACTGACGAACGATGCAGGAAGCATCAAGAGAAGATGGAAGGAATACACAGTCACTGTGGTTAAAAAAAAAAAAAAGTTGACGTTCAGCCATTTCAGGAGGTAGCATATGATCAAGTACCAATGGTTTTGAAGAAAGAAGTCTGAGCTGCACTGAAAGCATTGACAAAAAGCAAGGCTTCGAGAATCGACACAATACCAGTTGAGATGTTTCAACACAAGGATGCGGTGCTGGAGGTGCTCACTCATTTAAGACAGGTACCTGGCCAACTGACTAGAAGAGATCCACATTTGTGCCCATTCCAAAGAAAGGTGATCCAACAGGATGCAGAAATTATGGAACAGTATCACACACAAGTAAAATTTTACTGAAAATAATTCAGAACTGGTTGCAGCAGGACACTGATAGAGAACTGTCCGAAATTCAAGCCAGATTCAGAAGAGGACATAGAAGGAAAGACAGCCTTGCTGAGGTCAGATGGACCTTAGCTGAAAGCAGAGAACACCAGAAAGATTTCTACCTGTGTTTTTATTGACTATGCAGAGGCATTTGGCTGTGTAGGTCCTAGCAAATTCTGGATAACACTGCAAAGAATCAGAATTCCAGAACACTTAATTGTGTTCGTGAGGACCAAGAGGCATTCGTTCAAACAAAACAAGGGGATACTGCATGGTTTAAAATCAAGAAAGGTGTGGGCCAGGTTGCATCCTTTCATCATACTTAATCAATCTGTATGCTGAACAGATAATCCAAGAAGCTGGACTATGTGAAGAATACAGCGTCAGGATTGGAGGAAGACGCGTTAGCCACCTGCAATATGCAGATGATACACCCCTGCTTACTGAAAGCAAAGGTGACTTGAAGCTCTTACTGATGAAGATCAAAGACTACAGCGTTCAGGATGGATTACACCTCAGCAAAGAGAAAACAGAAATCCTCACAACTGGACTAATAAGCAACATCATGATAAATGGAGAAAGGATTAACGTTGTCAGGGATTTCATTTTACTTGGATTCACAGTCAGCATCCTGGAAGCAGCAATCAAGATATCAAATGACATGTTGCGTTGGGCAGATCTGCTGCAAAAAGCCTCTTTAAAGTTCCAAAGAGGAGTGATGTCTCCTTGAAGACTAAGGTGTGCCTGACCCAAGCCTTGGTCTTTTCAGTCTCCTCATATGCATGTGAAAGCTGGACAGTGAATATGGAAGCCCAGAGAATTGATGCATTTGAATTATGGTGCTGGTGAAGAATGTTGAATATCCCATAGACTGCCAGAAGAACGAAGAAATCTGTCTTGGACAGAACACAGCCAGAATGCTCCTTGGAGGTGAGAATGGCCGGACTTGATCTCTCATACTTTGCTCATGTTGTCAGGAGATACCAGACCCTGGAGAAAGGATGCCAAGCTGGTTAAGTGGAGGGTCATCAGAAAAGAGGAAGACCCTCAACAGGATAGATTGACACGGTGGCTGTAATGATGGGCTCGAGCGTGGCAAATACTGTGAGGAGGACATAGGAGTTGGAGCAGACACAGCAGCACCTGACACCACCAGCATGCTGTAGTCTGTTACATGTGTAATAGCACTTGGAAAGGTTTGAAATATTCTGAGAATGACCACACTATGACAGAGACACAAGATGAGCATGTGCTGTTGGAAAAATGA